GGGAAGTAAACCAGTTGGTCCCCTGTTCATGAGCTGATGGGTCGATAGGTAGGGTAATGTGTGGGAGCTACCTTCCGGGCGTCGGTGGCATTGGTACTCAGTACGTTCCATTTGATAACAGTCAGTGATGGCTTATTATGTGGGAAAGTAACCTCGGAATGGGCGTGACTCTCCAAACATTCTGAAAAGGCTACTACTGAACTAATTAGGCTTGGAATCAATCAAGTATTAAGTACTCAACACAATATAATTTTTCTCTGATTAGCTGCTTGAACGTCAAGCAGTACAGTTTGGTCTTTGCTCGCTCTGTCGAGTTGTTCGATAAACCTATAGTTTGTTACAAACGTTCGCAGATATACTGCACGTCGCGTCGTCAGTAGTGTCGGTCGCATCGCGTGATGGGAAGACAGCGTTCCCGGAGCAGACTTCGTGACCAAGCGGAGAAGAAGAACAGTGGTGAGGGTAAGCCGGTACCTACCTCAAATAGGTACGCTACTCTTCCCACCGATGTTGGGAATACCAACCCAGTCCCGGTCAAGCGGACGAAAAAGAGGAAGAAGAATCAAGAACAGTCCGATGGTACGAGCGGACGCGATGATTTTACCGCGACGAACGCCAGCGACATCGGTGATTTCGGCGACGCCATCGAAAATTCTGCAAGTACCACTCAACACGCTGATTGACGATCTCTCATCGCTGGGTGTTGCAGCTGAGTTTAAGCTCGGCAGGATCGGCACCAAGGTGATGCTGCGAACAAAAGCGGAGTACGAAGTGGTCGTGAAATATCTGAAGGATTCCAAGGCGGAATTCTTCACGCACGACATCCCCGGTGAGAAGCCCTTCAAGGTAGTCATCAAGGGTCTACGAAACTTCGACCCCAAGATGGTCGAAGCTGAAATCAACCGGTACAAGCTAGCCCCAATCGCTGTCTTCAGAATGACAAGGAGAGACGAAAACGTGAAGACTTTTCGGATTGTCTTTTCCTGGTGCACTTCCAGAAAGGGACGGTGACGCTCAATGCGCTGCAAGCCATCCGATCGATCTACTCCATCATCGTACGGTGGGAGCCATACCGTGGTGGCCATCGTGACGTAACGCAGTGCCAGCGGTGCCTCAATTTTGGACACGGTACCCGCAACTGCAACATCAAGCCACGCTGCAGCAACTGCGCTCAAGAACACGCCACTTCCGACTGCCCTGCGGATGGATCCGTGGCGTTAAAATGCGCCAACTGTGGTGGTGCTCATCACGGTTTCGACAGATAGTGCTCCACACGCGAGGACTTCAAACGCATCCGAAAACAGGTGGCAACTAATAACCAACCAGGACGCAAGAAGGACAAAGCCCTGGCATTTCGGACGGAGGATTTCCCACCTCTTCATGCTCCTCAGCAAAGGCAAGCGAATTCACGGGTGCATCCCGCTCAAGCAACTTCCGGTGATTCTGCTGGCCAAAGCTCTCCATCCCCCTGGATTCTGGAGACAACCAACAGCGCAAAACAACAACCCCGATCTGTTCTCAGCGGATGAACTGATGAAAATTTTCGTCAACGTGTCCGGTGCTCTTCGTAAGGTCCACAATAAGCCCGAACAGATCCAAGTTCTCGGGAAGTTCATCATCCAGTATGGCGTCTAAACCGCTAACTATCGTCACCTGGAATGCTTGCTCTGTAAGAGCAAAAAAGATTGAGCTTGCCGACTTCCTCCGCAAGCACAGCATCGACGTGGGCCTTCTAACCGAGACCCATCTAAAGTCCGGCGACAGCTTTTGGTTGCCTGACCACAACATTATCCGGCTTGATCGCACCAGCTCCAAGGGGGGGGGGGGGGGTGTTGCAGTCGTCGTCAAGAAAGGAATAAAATACCACACTCTGTCCCATATCCGTACCTCTATCATCGAGGCCTTTGGTGTGGAGGTGGAGTCGTCGACTGTATACGTTCAGTTCATCGCCGTCTACTGCCGCCAGCAGTGGACTAGCGGCTAAATTCAAGAAGGACCTGTCCACCATCACCCGTACCGGTTCCCGCTTCGTAGTTGGAGGAGATCTGAATGCTCGCCATGAGGCCTGGCGGAACTACCAGCAGAACCAGAACGGTCGTCTGCTGTTCGACCACTCACAGCATGGGCTGTACTCCGTTTGGTTTTCGGATGAACCAACATTTTTCTCACCGGCGGGCAACCCATCGACGCTAGACCTTTTCCTGACAAATATCGGCTTGTCTAAGCCGGTAGCCTTGAACGAACTCAGCTCCGACCACCAACCGGTGGTGGCTGAACTGGGCTGCAACGTGGCTCCTGCTTCAAGCCTGCGCAAGGACTATCATCGCGTAAACTGGGCCCAGTTTGGACGCGTGGTAGACAGGCACATCATCGACAACCCGCCGCTTGATACTGTGGAGGACATCGACCGAGCGTTGGAAGGACTCCACCAAACCACAACCGTGGCTGACGAGGCGTGCGTCCGACGAGTTCCTGTGAGGGGTAAGTTTATTGCCATTGATTCCCACACCCAACTTTTGATTCGCCTGAGAAATGTTCGTAGACGCCAGTTTCAGAGGACTGGAGATCTAGCGAGGAAACGTGAAATGGCCGATCTGAACAGGCAGATTGCTTCCAGAATGGACTCACTCCGAAATGAAAATTTCGGGTGTGTTGTCCAGAATCTGGATGACCGCTCCAGACCATTCTGGAAGGTAGCCAAGGTCCTGAAAACTCATCCCAAACCCATTCCACCTCTCAGAGTCGAAAATGATGACGATCGGCTTTTAATTACCCCACAGGAGAAAGCAAATGCGATCGGCGAGCATGTCGCTTCATCGCATTTGCTTGGCTCGACTATCCAAAGTCCGCTCGATGATCAGGTTGCGCAATGCTTTCAAAACCTAGATACCTCCCCTTGTGTCGTGCCTCCGGCGGATATGATTACAATACAACAGATTTGCTCAGCGCTGAAATGCACCAAGAACATGAAAGCTCCCGGGTTTGACGGTATATTCAACTTGATCTTGAAGAGACTCAGCATGAAAGTGCAGTCTGTTCTAACCGCTATCTTCAACAGATGCTTGGAACTGCACTACTTTCCAAGCATCTGGAAAGTAGCAAAAATCATACCAATCCGCAAACCCGGTAAGGATCCAACATTGCCTTCAAGCTACAGACCAATCAGCCTCCTTTCAGCGCTGAGCAAATTGTTCGAGAAACTCATTCTCAATCGTTTGCTCAAGTTTGTCGAGGAAAACAACATTCTCCTTCCGGAACAGTTTGGATTCAGACAGGGGCACTCCACCAATCATCAGTTAGTACGGGTGATGAATAACATCCGAAGTAACAAAGCTGTATTCAAGTCCACAGCCATAGCCTTGTTAGACGTTGAAAAGGCGTTTGACAATGTTTGACATGATGGACTTGTGTACTAGCTTTGTAACTTCAACTTTCCTTTACATCTGGTTAAAATCACCCGTAACTACCTCCAGCAAAGGTCGTTAAAGGTATCGTTGAATGGTTGTTTTTCAGACACGTTTTCCATCCCAGCAGGTGTCCCGTAAGGCAGTTTGCTGGGCCCCTTGCTTTACAGCATTTATACTTCCGACATTCCTCCCCTCGGTGACGGTTGCGTGTTTTTCCTGTTCGCAGATGATACCGCAATAGCCGTCAAAGGAAGGATGCCTCGCGAAATAACGAACAAACTTCAACGATGCCTTAACGCCTTTGCTGATTATGCCACCACGTGGAAAATCAAAATCAATGCCTCCAAAACACAAACAATCATGTTCCTCCATCGACAATCACCCAAACTAAAACCGGCTCCCTCTTGTACTGTAATCATGGATGGCACAAGGGTTGAGTGGTCCGCCGAAGTAACCTATCTCGGGATGTTGTTCGATGAAAAGCTCTTCTTCTGTTCGCATGTAGAGAAAACTGTAGTCAAGTGTTCTACCTTGGTTAGGTGTCTGTATCCGCTGATTTGCCGCAGATCCCGCCTCTCAAGGGTGAACAAACTGGCCGTCTACAAACAAATCATAGCACCTGCGATCCTCTACGCAGCTCCGGTGTGGGAATCATGTGCACAGACTCACAGGAACAAAATCCAAGTCGCTCAGAATAGAGTGCTGAGGATGGTTCTTGATCGTCCTTTCGGCACTAGAATAACAAATTTACATGAAGAGGCAGGCATTGCCAAAATAGATTCAAAAATTAACGAAATTCAGAATAAATTTGCACAAAAATGTAATGTATCAGAAAATGCTTTGATAAGCAATTTGTATATAGTAGATTAGGTGTATATAGTAGTTGTAGGTTAGTTGTAGTTGTAAATAGTAGTTATAAGTAGTCTCCTTTTTCAAATGTAAAACAAACCAATCCCACCAAGGTGGTCATTCTTAAAACAGGCCTGATAGGACTAGGAACTGTAATTAATAATAATTGAAATTTCAAAGGAATTAAAGTTGAAAAGACGCATCTGTGTCACTTGATAAGTTATACATGTAATCTACACAAATTCAAGAAATATAGATCATTTAAAGTCAAAGACAATATCATTCCTTATAAATTAATCCGCTTTGATCAGGCCTGCTGCACCCCTTAGATGGATTACTCCCATCACGACACCACGCCAATACCACTGTTTCATTCTTCCATCTGTTCTATAGTCAGGAATAACAACGTGATGGGTTACTGTTCTCGGCTGGTGGTTGCGGGTCGGTTGGGTGGTTCCACAAACGGGGGGCCATGCTTCGCGACCTGGACTCACCTCAACCGAGTGTGTAGGTAAAGTGAGCATGTTGGGACTTGGGAGAGCCTCCACAATCTCTCTCTCCGGGGGGAGCACCGCACACACACTCAAAACATAGGAAAAGAAAGAGAGAGAGAGCCCCAAGAACGCGACTTACTGCGAGCGAGCATGGGGCTGCCTGACGGACTGAAGGATGGAAGTAGAGGAAAATAAAGAGTAAAAAACATTGTTGTTTTAGCATTTCCACCGAATCAAGTGAATCAGTCAGCTTTCGTAGTTTGTGGTGTGCACTGCTACAAACGACACAGTTCGGTTTCCGGGCCGGCCGCATCTCTGGAACACTAGTGCGTTGCGTTGCGCCATATCCAAACAGCTGGACGTGTGCTGGATTACAAGTCGCGTCGTCGATCGGGAGCAATTAATCATAGCCCCATCATCGAGGGACGATACTCGGGAATACAACCGCCGCCAAACGAGTGACACCCATCAGCGGAAGCAAAGGGTGCGACAACAGTGTGGGCAGAGTGCAGGAGTGTGTTTGCGTGTTTAGTGTGGGTGGTCAGTCGGCCGCGCAGTTCAAGCTCTGGGTTCGACTCCCACGCGGTAGTGACACTGTACGTGACGGGTACGGAAGAGGTCACGCGGAGAAGTGACAGAAGTGTAGCAGTCAAGTGACCTTTCCCGTTGGAATTGCACGTGTTTTGAGTGCTTGCTCCTAATGAGATAACACGCGTGACTGAGTGATGCCGTTCTGAGTCGTATTTACGGGATGAAATATTTATAATGACAATTATTGTTGTCGCAACGAATATGGATTAAGCTGTGTTCTACTCTACGGAAAAGTAGTAGATACCGCCCGACAAAGTTCAGAACACTGTGCCGTATTGGAGTGTTTGTGTAGTAGATGAAAAAAAGTGGATGAAGAAGAAAACAAATAGTGAACAACTGAGCGGGTTAGTAGTGTGTATGTTTGCGCCGGTGTCTATGCGCAATATTATTCATGAGTTGTGTCGTTGAGGGAAGACCAGCCAGAGAGAGAGAGAGAGAGAGAGAGGAAAAAAGAAAAAAAAATAATACGATCAGCTAGGCACTCTGTGACATTTTGACTTAAGTCACTTGAAATGTCAAACCATTTATAAGTTTAAATGTTACATCGCTCGGGTTTTCGTTGAATGAGCTGTGAGCGGTCTACTAATACAGCTACTACCTACGGTTACTACATTAACGTGCGATACGGGGCGGTGATGGCACTCGAAGTTTCAGTCCGTACTTTGAAAATGAGAACAACACGGAACGAAGCGCTCGGATGGTAGACAGACAAGCGACCGACGGACGGCGGCAGCTGAAATTAATATCTCTGGAGATCCGTTTACCAATCGGAAAATCGACGTGCTGGTGTATATGTGAGTGTGTATTTGCGTGCGTGTATTTACCGACCGCCTCTGGTGACATATCCGGTGATGGACAGCGATCATAATAACAATAACCAAGTACTACACCAAATGAGTGCTACCTGGCTGGTGACGACCGTCGGTGATAAAATGTAAAAGTTGAGTTTTTATTATCAATGCATGATCGTTTGGCACAGTGTGCAGGTGATTCGCTGTTTTGGCAATAATCGGATTTTGTTGGTGGAAAACTTTACTGCCTCCGACGTATGCAAGGAATACCCAATAAGTTCTCGAAGCAAAGCGTATCGTAACAAGCCTTTTTGAGGTAGGTATCAAATGGTTTTAGCTATTAAATTCATGTTTAAAAATAATATCAAAACGACAACTGAAAGGGGCTTTTTTATTAGAAACTCATTAAATTGAAAAAATAACATCTTTAGGATTGATCAATGCGTTGAAAATTAATCGATTCTTAAGTGAGAAAAGCAAACAAGTTATGGTTATTTGTTTAGCTACTTAGTTCGAAAAAGTTGTGTAAATTTCTGTTACTGTGATGCACATAAAGGGAGCATCATTTAACATACAAGCTTACATTTTAGATCGTGTAAAGTTGTGTGACATTTCATGAAATATTCCAAATATTGTATTCAACCATCCATCTTTGTAAGCAACATTTATTACAATTTGCTAATTTAGGTGATAAAGAAATTTACATGCATAAATGTTTGCATGCATGGATGTTTAAATCACCATTGAAATTCAGATTTTTTTTTTCTGTGTAGCATTTTGTGAAATTGATTACTCTTACTACACATTAACTCTATAGTACTTTTTACATGATGTTCATTTGAAAACTTAGTATAAATGGAAAATTTGTTTTTTTTTTCAAATGTATTTCGTGTTATTTTAGCAATTTTTATCATTCCAATCTCTACAAGTCTGACATAAAACATGTTATTGCCCAGAAGCGAACTATGAAATTGTCGCTGGGAGTCGATGTTTCTAGGAATGATTCATTACAACTAATGTGTTTTCAAAACCAATCAAGCTTCTTTTTGGATTTTATTTAATGGCCAAGCGGGGTGGCAAAAATGGTCTCCATGGCGACAAGGCAAAGGAGCTCATTCAAAGAGGTTTTCCACGACACTTATTTCGTTAAGGGTTGATGCATATATTATGTCACGCTCTAACGAGGGAAGGTGGTTCTAAGATTTTATGACAAGCAATGCACGATAGGGGGAAGGGAGTAAATTTTTCCTCGATTTAGGGTATTATTAATAAAAGTAAATGGTAATTACAAGGTGAATTTCGATCAGATTGTAAGGACAAGCCCTTGAGTATTCCAAAGGAAAATCTGCGAATGATTTAACAGGAAATCTGAAGACGTTTTAATTAGCAAGTGTTTCTAACCACAATTCCAATAAATTTCTGACACGAACTCCAAACCGTGCTTAGATTAAAAAAAAACTAGTTAGGGTTAACTAGACCACTCCCGGCCAATTAAGCACAACTCGCACTTAGTCTTTCTTAATCGAGCGTAGTTTAGCACCAAACGGAATGTTATTTTTACAAATGGCCTCAAAATTTATTTACCTTTCCATATGTACCGTTAGTTCTGAATATTCGTATATTGTTGAAAATGCAAAACTGCTTCTGGCAGTTCAACTGGGCCTATGGGTTTTCTTAGGCCTATTAGCCATTGAAACGCCATTGGGATTCTCTTTGGCCTATGGAACGGAGAGAAAAAGTGAATTCACGCGTTTTGTTTTCGAGATCTTATTTTACGTTCTTCAACACTTCGTCTTGCAGCTATTGAATAGAAGCATCGTACCGAACGTTGCTTTGACACGTTCACGCCGAAATCATAGATATATTTGATGTGTTGTGCTCGATAGGCCGGGAATGGGCGATTAGGCCGAAGTAGGTTTTTCCCCTAGTCCTGGAACGTGTGCAACCATGCTCGACTACAGCACACGTGCCAAAAACTCCAGACATTATTTCGAAGAGAATTGCGAGAATATTTCCAAGGAAATCTCAGGAGAACAATATTTTTTGGAGCAAATACCAAGGGAAGATAGGTTAGGGAATGCAATCTAAGGAATAATGATTGCCCCGTAAGGTGGGTAGATCACTTTTTCGTGGTACGTTACGGGATGTAAGATCTACCACCGATTCTTAGTCCTGACTACTTCAAACTAGGGGAGCAGGATTTTTCAGTAATCAAAGGAACACATCTTAGTCCTTGTTACTTTTTATGCCTTAATGATAGTGATAAGAGTCGGCTTTGTCCACCGAGGATAATCTTGAAACAAGGAAAAAATGAGTTAGTTAGTCTTCATCTATGTAATTCGTAATCTTCTATTCGTTGTTCCCTAGTTTGAAGTGGTTAAGAATAGGGTTCTGATGCATGGTCATTATCGGTGTCATTTATTAATTTTGTTGCTAAGGAAGTCAGAAATTTTGACTGACAAAGGGGCGCACGTTTGGAGGATGTTTCAACACTCCGTAGGGTATAAATAGCAGGAAATTTAAATTAAAGTCGGATCCTTGCGATAAATGCAAGAATGACACTGGTAAAAAAATCGTTTACTTCATCATTTCTCAATAGTGATGGAGTAATACGATATGCACTAAACTAAGGACACGGGATATACTACATTAAATCAAATTACTGGTTGTAGTGTTGTTAGGTCCAAAACAGAGGAACAAAGGTTTGTAACCCTTATGAGTTTTCTGCTTTCTATTTCTTAGTTTGAAAATTTGTCTATTGAATCATATTGGTGCCTTTGTATTTGTTCTCTTTCTTTGCTTCGTTGGCACTGTCTGCTCTAAAATACCACAAATAATTTCATAGAATGCATCAACTGCTTGTTCTATGTTACAATTACGTAGTAGAGGTTGCCAGTCTATACAGTCCAATTTGAAGGCGAACCAGCCTAAGGCTGAAAGCCTCCTAAATAAAGCTAAATAATAATAATATACAGTCCAATATATTTTTGATTAGTTTATAGTTTACTTTGCTAAAATCAAATAACGGTTCGGACAAATTATTATTCAAAATTGCGTTTTTTCATGAAGGGTTACGGTATGTAATGTGGGTCTAGTCCTTTCATTCGGCCTATCACGCAAATAAATAATTAATTAAGGAATATTACACAAAAAATAAGGAAAATATTGATCACTGATGGTTGATAAATGTGTACCACACACAAATCAATTTATATCACAACATTTCAATACATTTTCAGCTCTCGTAAGTAATAAAACTGGTTGAGAATATCACAATGTTCGGAGTTTTTAGCCGCCATGACTTATAAGGTTAAGATGGGAAGGTTGACTGACGATCATCAAATGGCCTGATTATGGCATTTATTGATTGGAATTACCTGATAATACACACTAGACGTAAAACTTACAGTTGCTGTTTGAATATTTTATGTTTATTTTAATTGTTTAACAACGTTTTCACAAGTAAAACATGGACCCAACTTTAGGGACACATTTCTTTTCTATGTTCCTAACTATGGCCCATGAAATTCATTTGACAGCATATAGCAATAAGAGTAACGTCAACAATGTTGTTTTGCATTTGGATGATAAGGAACGAACAGGAAGGGAGATTTTTTCTGCCAAACCTGTATAATGAACATCACAATGTTCTGATTTAGATATTCTGCGGTCAAAAGACGATAAGCGAAATTTTTAATTTTTAATTTTTAAATTGAGTGATTTAATGTAGTTTTCGTAAAATTTTCTCTAAGAAATGTTTTGAGGAATGAAGAGCATTAAGTTAACAGTGATAGTGATAAAAAAAAATACATCAGAAAACGTTACCAAGAGCGTTTTTTTGAGGATCAAACAAGATAGGACGAAGTTGCATCCATAAATAGACCCAATTTGGGGACAATAGACCCATATTACATACATTTCCCTCGTGAGTTATTGTCTTAAAAAAAGTAAGTTTTTCAACTTTTCGTGGTTTCTGATAGCAAACGACATGATAAGCATATCTAAGCATACCATTTAGCAGTAGAATATCGTTTGCAGGTAAATTCATTGATGAGTTATGATTAAAAACGTAATCGATGGCTGCATATTAGACCGAGGTTAGGGACGTATACCCTACGAATATAGACCAGCGCTGTCCAGCGTGCGGCCCGCGGGCCGGACGTGGACTCTGAATCTCAGCAATGAAATCATTCTTGTCTAATTTTCTTCATCATTATGAATTTTAGCCCAAAATGAATGAGAAATAAAAAAAAATTGTAGCTTGAAACATGTTCATCGAACATAGATACAACCATTTAAAAAAAGCAAGTTTAAAAAGGTTGGATAGGCCTGATTTAGAGAATTCAATTGCAATGTGAAACACTTCATTTTTCCAAAGCGGAGTTGGGGACTCAGATATGGGTCATTCCAGCTAAAGTGGGTACAACACCTGTAGTCGATGTCACCGATTTGAGCCAAACTTGGCCAAAAGGCTTATTCTGAACAAATGCCTTTTTTGATTTTGCTCTAAAGTGCCTAGATCCTTTTGGGCAACAACCCTGTATTTTCGAGATTTTTTTTTAAAAATTGCAACGTTCAGAAGAGATTACTACACAACCAAATAAGCTATTCGTGATCTTAGAACGTCAATTTTAAGGTTATTTTTTTAATTTTGATTATTATAGGAGTACCCACATTTTGTTTTTGTTAAAGTACTTACAGTAAACAGACTGATTACGGCAGGTATTTTGTCAAAAAAATGGCCTATTTTCACCATGGGTGGGATTTTTTATTTCCTAATATTTTGACCTCTTCAAGTAGCAGCTTTCATCTACAGCTGAAATTTTATATACCTATCTGATTTCATCGTACTTTACGTTTTAGCCGTATCCCATAGAAACGTATTTTTCACTTTTAGGACCATAATTAAATTATGGACAAAAGTAAATAAGTGAGCTAGTTATGATTTCATACAATGAGAATCCAGCCCAGAACATGCGAAAACAAGGAATTCAAGAAAAAATAAAAAATATATTATATAGCATTGATTTTTCACCAGAAAAGCTCAAAACTCATCTGGTCATATCTAAAAAAACTGCTTGTCCAAATCATTTACCCTTGGAAACACATCAAGTACAAGAGTTTTACAAAGTGTGATGAAAATTTGAGCCCAAAATATTAAGAAATAAAAAATCCCGCCCATGGTGAAAATAGGCCATTTTTTGACAATTTTGATACCTGCCGGTAATCAGTCTGTTTACTGTAGTTACTATAACAAAAACAAAATATTTGTACATTTATAAGAATGAATATTAAAAAACCATCAAATTGACGTTC